GATCCACATGGTAAAAAAATATTGAAGAACTTAGCTTCTTACGGGAGTGTAGAATTTCTTGCTGGGAAGATGGGGTTTTTAACATGCAACATATAACCACTTCGAACTGCTAAGATGCTGGTGCCGCGAACGGTAACCGCTTGCTGCTCGGCGAGCGCGTGCTGGTTTCGCAGCGGCCTTTTGCTTCTCTGTTTGTGATGCAGCAACTCTACAGGAAGAAGCCCGGGCTGGCCGTCACGTTCGCAAAGCTGCCTCAGAATCTGGACAAAAACCGATACAAGGATGTGTTGCCTTGTGAGTGTCGGCATGCACGCCTCCTTCCCCGCCCACTGAGATAATGTTTCCCTTCTAAAACAGATCGTCTGGGGCTCTGGGATGACTCTCAGTGTGTCTGTAAACAGCACCGTCTGGGAACAGTTGGGGAATAGTGTTCGTGCTAATGCGAGGGCCGCAGATGGGGCTGGAACCGAACCCTTACTTACGTGCTGTGATCAAAAGAACGCTGGGAATAATCGGTGCGTTTCTTTTCTTTCCCCCACAGATGACACCACCCGGGTATTACTGCAGGGAAATGAAGATTATATTAATGCGAGTTACGTGAACGTAAGTTAGGAAGCTGGGTGTTAAGCGCTGTGAGGAGCTCGTGCTTTGCAGTTGACCGAGTGCTTTCCTGTTCACTCCCTGATTTCAGCACAACAGCCCTTGAGGGAAGGCAGAATAGTCTCATTTTACAGAGGACAAAACTGAGGTTCAGAGAGATTAAATAATTTGAAAAGTCACAAAGCTAACAGAAGGTGAGACCAAAACTCAGATTCTGTGTCTCTGACTCCATTGTCCACAAGCCTTCTGTCCTCAGCTGCTGGTGTCTAGGTGTTTTAGTTCTGGTTTGGGTTTTTTCGGTTTGTTTGTTTATTTCTTTCTTTGTTTTTGCCAGTGCTGTGTTTGTAACTTTCTGTGTTCCCCGTGTTATTATTGTATATCCCATCTAAAATAAGAAAAATAAAACCACCCCTGTGCATATAACCCAAAAGAAAGGAGGAAAGATTTTACATGTTGTAGGAAAAACATTCATTTCACTCGGAAAATACATCTTGGGCAACTTAGTTGACCTCTCTGAACCTCAGTTTCTTCATCTAAACCAAGAGTCGGCACACTTTTTTCTGTCAAGGGCCAGATAGTAAATATTTTCATCTTTGCAAGTCAAGAGGCAAAATTGAGGATATTACTTAGGTGCTTACACAACCATTTAAACTGCAACCACATAAAAATATAAAATACTACTTACTCTTAGCTTGCAAAGTGGAGGTCCGATTTGGCCCTCAGGCCATAGTTTGCCAACTTCTGATCTAAATGAACAGATGGTTTTTCAAGTTAAGTTCTCAACTTATAGCAAAATATCAAGAGCTTTTCTAATAAAAATGGGTCTGGTCAGCGATTCACTTATTCCAAAACATCTGTGAGTTTCATTGATTTGTTGACCCTCACTGTAACGTTCCTGGTGTCTCCAAAGCAGAGCATCAGAAACGGTGGGGGCAGTAAGACCACACGGTCCAGTCTCTTTGAGTTATTGGGGGAGGGGGGACACTGACACCAGGGTTGAGGAAGCCATTAACCCAAGTGCCAACCAAACCGTGATCCGGTGCCTCCGTTTACCTTCCACCTGAGAATGCGTGAGTTACGGTGCACCTGCAAAGCTCGGCAGGTTCCGTGCTCTTTCATAGCAAGGACTCAGTTCCGAAGGGCAGAAGGAAAAGCAGAGCAGGATGGGAGAAAGACACTAAGGAGAGCTGAAAACTTTTTTTTTTAATATATCTTTATTGACTTCAGAGAGAGGAAAGGAGAGGGAGAGAGAGAGATAGAAACATCAATGATGAGAGTCATTGATCGAGCCCGCAACCCAGGCATGTGCCCTGACCGGGAATCGGATCCCGATCGCCTGGATCCTAGGTCGACGCTCGACCGCTGAGCCACGCCCGGCCGGGCTGAAAGCATTTTAACATTTAACATTAATGAACTCCAGTGGTAACTGAAGTGATGGATATGTTCGCTAATTTGATTGTGGTAATCATTTCACAGTGTATACATTTATCAAACGATCATGTTGTACATCTTAAATACAGACACTTTTTATTTGCCAGTTATACCTCAATAAAGCTGGGGGTGGAGATTGATCCACTTCATGACACAAGCGTTGGCAGCCATGCAGAAAGCTAGTGCAACGGTAGTTGGTGGTATAAGCCTGTAGAGTTTATGTTTCAGAGAAAAGTAAGTAGATTTTGATAGAAAACCCTGCATAGAGCAAAAATGAGGATTTTTTTAGGGCTTTAGTTTTTTGGGTTTCTTTTTTAACATTCAGTATTATTTTGTATTAGTTTCAGGTGTAGAGCATAGTGGTTAAGCAATCATATACTTTACAAAGTGTTCCCTTGATATTTCCAGTTCCCGCCTGGCACCAGACATAATTATTATTGACTCTGTTCCCTGTGCTGTGCTTTACAGCCCCGTGACTATTCTGTAATACCCATCTGTGTTTCTCAGTCCCTTCACCATTTTCACCCAGTTCCCTATCCCTCCTCCCACCTGGCAACCATCAGTCTGAAAAAAATAAAGATTGATAAGTGTCACTGAAAATACAGATACCGAATATTGATTATATTTAGGATTCAGCAGCGAAGGTCACTTAAACTCTCCTGCCACCTTGTAGGTACATTTCTAATTATTGCCTATGAGTATCGCAGTTTTATCTTAAATATCTAATGCCAGCACTTTTGTCAAATATCTTTCAAGGATTTTTAAAAAATAGCATTTTTAAAATTTTTCTTACTGACCATAAGTTGACAAGAGACATTATTCTGGTGATGTCAGTTACCAAGTGGGAGAGTTTAAGATCCAGTTCCCCATCTACCTTGTGGCAGTAACAGATTCTAATGCCTTAACAATCTCCTGCCAGATGGAAATTCCTGCTGCTAACCTTGTGAACAAGTACATCGCCACTCAGGGGCCCCTGCCGCATACCTGCGCACAATTCTGGCAAGTCGTCTGGGATCAGAAGTTATCACTCATCGTCATGTTGACAACCCTCACGGAGCGAGGGCGGGTAAGTGGCTTGATTTCCAATTCAAATGTGTGCATGTCACACTGTTTCTGTGGAACACTAATCTCAGAGCTGAAAAGTGTCTTAAATGTTGCCCAGTCTAGCCCCTACATGACCCATAAATCTTCTGTAAGGAGCTACTGATGGACTTCTTTAATGACGGAGAGCTCAGCACTCCTTCTACCCACCCCAGGCCTTCGCCAAGCTAAAGAGTGATCAGCCCTCCCCACTGCTGGCTCAGATCCGTGGTTCCAAGCCAGAAGGCAGGTCCCCTTGCCTCACCTCACCTGCCCAGAACCCCTGCGTTGCCTGTGGCCTCACCCACCCAGGACAAGTGCTGGTCCTGAGAAGAGCAGTGCGGGTGCCAGGTTCCCAGTGGTGGTAACATGTAGGAGAAATGACAACCTCTGTCACCCTCTGCTTGTGTTGCAGCAAAGCCCATTGCAAAAGTAGGTGTGAAGGGCTTCATTAGGAGAGTGATGGGCACCATACTGGGCGTAGCAGCGCACATGTTTTCCACAGGAACAGACCTCTGATTATATAACAGAAATCAGCATGCAAGGGACACTGTATCATGAATGCTCCAACTCGTGCCTACATCTGGATATCTTCATTATGAAATGTTTATACAGAAGCACATTCCAAAATCAAATGTAAATTGATTTTGAGCCACATGCTTTGAATGAGCTGTGCCACTTCCTCCCAGGCCTTTCCTTGGTACGTAGTTCAGAATGCCAGATTGATCCACGCTGAAATTCAGTACACAGGATTGGGATGGAGAGTGTATTTGAGGAGAACATCTACCCTCTCACCTGAAACAGCAAAATAATAATCCTACTAATTTATAGAGCCCAATAGATTGCAAAGGGCTTTTATGTATGGTGGTCCAGGCAGAGCCCTCCCCACCTCTGCTAAAACACTCCAGGATCCATCCTGTGAGCTTTCAGCTCTGATACGGTAAAAATTTCTCCTTGCAATCAACTGAAATCCACGTTGCTTTGAACCTTCCCCCTACCTGCTTTTCCCACCTGGCAGACACAGAATGAGTCACCCCTTCTTCTGTGCAGTGCTCTTTCAGGTATCTGAAAATAATCTTAAACTTGTAAAAGGTTGCAAGTTCAGCTTCCATTGAGCTTGTGGTCAGTGGACGTTGTCTGGTCTTTGTCTCCTGCCCTTGACTCTTGACACCTACATACAGCACTCTGGTGAGGCTCTGGAGCGAGACGATCTGGGTTCAAAACATGGTTCCTCTTGAGCAAGCTACTTAACCTCTCTGCTTTCCTACATACACAATGGAGATGATAATAGCGCTCACTTGGGGGGTTTGTGAAGATGGAGACAATATATATAAGAAGCTTAGAGAACTGCATGTTGCAAATGTCCAACAAATGTGGTGGTGGTGGTGGTGGTGTGTGTGTGTGTGATCATCATCGTCATCATCATCATCATTGCTGGCAGGATTCGGATTCAGCCCTCAGATCTGACCTTCAGCATGCTCTTTGGGGCTCTCTGGGGCTTTCCTCCTGTCATTCTTTGTGTTGGCTATTGCTTTTAGCTTCTTGTCACAGTTTTAATCAGAATCTCTTCTCTTCACATAAATCACTGTTAAAAAATGTGAAGTTCCTCAAGAGGCTGTAGAAGCCTGTGAGTCAGAGGCATTGAGGGCACTCTTTGGGGAGCAGTTGTTAATTCTCCCGGCTCTGCTCCCAGCCCTTGCCATTTCTCCTCTACCCAGTTATGGGCCTCTCAGAGGCTCTGCTGAGGACCAGGGCGGCAGATCTATGGCATCATCGCCTGATCTCCTTGTCTAGAAGTCTCGTTTTTGTCTGTTTTTAATTTGGGCTTATGTTTTATTTTTTGTGATTTTTCTAACCTTGTTTTGAATAGGAAATGAAGTTACAGGGACATGTTTTGTTTTTCTGGAGCACTTGCTGCTGTCCTGTTCTGTGGTGTGGTAGGCAAGAAGGCAGCCTTAGTTAGGGCCACATATCCTGAATTCAAATCTCAACTCTACCACTTCCTACCTGGGTGGCTTAGGAAAGCTGTAAAACCTCTGTGTGAATGGAACAATGATACCACTTATGTTGTGGAATTGTGGGGAAATTGAATGAGTTGATACAGACAGCTTTCTTGGAAGAGTGCCTGGTACGCAATAAATATAACAGAAATGTTAGCATCAGTAGTTCGAGTACCACCTTAACACAATTATTGCCAGGAGTAGACTAAATTTATTTTTCTTTATGTAGTATTATTTTTCTTTAAATTGACTCACTTTTTTTTTTTTTTTTTTTTTTAATAAATTTCCTTTGAAAGATATATCTTTTTAAATTTTTTTTATTTAAGTATAGTTGGTATGCAATCTTATATTGATTATATTAGTTTCAGGTGTACAATATAGTAATTTGANTTTTTTTTTTTTTTTTGCTTTAATAAATTTCCTTTGAAAGATATATCTTTTTAAATTTTTTTTATTTAAGTATAGTTGGTATGCAATCTTATATTGATTATATTAGTTTCAGGTGTACAATATAGTAATTTGACATTCTGATACCTTACAACATGATCATCTCACTAATTCTAGTAATCACCTGTCACCATGTAAACTTATCACAATATTATTGACTATATATTTTCCTTCCTTGAAAGGATACATCTTAAATGGTAGTTCAGTATCACTTGTCCTAAGTAGAAGGTATGTGTAAAAATATGAAGATCACAAAACAATGCTGTTGAATTCTAAATAAATACTCTTGCTTTCCAGGCTCTGAACTGAGGCTTGCTTGCTCCCTCACGCCACCTACATCTCTCCCTTCCTCTCTCCTTCCCTCCCTCTTAAAAGAGAGTTCACGTATTAGGGAGGTAATGTTACAGCTATCCTGGACCCAAATCAAGACTCTCCAGGGCACACATGAAAAAGATTCACCCCACCACGTGGTTCTGTGCTGTCGAATACAGACCCGGTCTCCTCCTAATTGACCAGCAGGCATCCCATACTTTGCAGGCCCTGATCTGGGGCCACTCTGATGTTTTATTAGATGACAAGACATCAAGTTCACTGCCTTGTCCTTTCCAGAATCTGCCAGTCTCCCCATTTGAAAACGCTCTGTTTGCCTGCCTATTCTGTTACTTCTGGCTGCCTGGATGCTCCAGGTTTTCTTGTGAACTATCCATTGGAGCTTCCACTCTCCTATCTCATAAGGTCTTTCAGTCCACAATGCAGTTCCTCAGAGCCAACACCTGAGCCCGCGCAGGGTGCTGGGCACCATCTCCATGCTCGTGGTGGCCTTCTCTTTCCCCATTAACGCTGGCCTCCCCTTCTCAGCTGTAAGGTCATTCTTTGCAGAGAAAAGAGCTCCAGTAGGCATGGTTAGTGACAGATGATCTGCACCAATAGCACTCCCTTCTCTTCATCATTCTGCTTGCTCCAGCTTGGTAGAAAAGGCCCTTTCTTCCGTCCCAGAGGCCTCACTCCCTCTGGCTGCTCCTGCAGGAGGGTCCTGCCCCTCCTGCTCCGTCCTGATTCCATCTCCCTCCTCTCTTTTGTTGGTGGCTGCTCTGAACCGGAGCTCTTCTGGTCTCCCTGTGATGACCTGGTGGGCTTGTTTCCCAGCCCTTTCTTCTTAACTGAGCCCATTCCGGCTTGGGTTCCTGCATGAGAGATTCCCATCTCCCGTGAGTCACAGCGTTCCCTTCACAGTCTCCAGCCCTGGGAACTCACCACTCTTGTTTATCAATTGTTAGAAACCTGTTTTTCTAAAATCCAGGCTGTGTGTGTTCCTCCCTCTCCTGTTACAAGCTCTCAGGGGATCAGAGCCCATCATCCTCAGGGCCCTCATCGGGCCCTCGCCACCACCCAGCAGTTGGTCCTTCCTGCTGTCAGGAGTCAGTCACTACAGGCAAAATGACATTGACAGCAGGTCCCATTTGTTTTCTCCATGTTATGCATTTAGTAGAGTGGGGCTCCCGGCAGGCGTGTGACTGGCCCGAGTCCCCCATCACTGCTCTGTGTAACCCTCACATCTGCCAGTGCTGAGGGCTCCTCCAAAGCCTTGATGACCCCGTGGTCCTGGAGACACTCCCACTCTCCGTAAGAGGACGGGCTGTTCCTCTGGCCCCTCAGAACAGACACAGAGCAGGTCGGCCTCGCCTGAGCTGCTTTTCTCCTGGCAGGAATACCTGGTGTGAGTGAGCGGGCTCTGGTTGAACGCCCGACCCATCTGTCTAGTTAACTGCTTGTGTGCACCACCCTCAGCGGAGGTTAACTCACACCCAGTGCTTTCTTTGCAGACCAAGTGTCACCAGTACTGGCCCGATCCTCCCAATGTCGCAGAACACGGCAGATTTCACATCCGCTGTCAGTCAGAGGACTGCACTATTGCCTACGTGTTCCGAGAAATGCTGGTCACAAACACCGAGGTGAGCAGTGCCCTGGCGGTGAGTGGCCCGGGCGGGGCTCAGTTTAGAGGCAGGTCTAAGTCAGCAGCCGCTGTGGTCCTGGGTAGAGCTGTGCTGCTCGGTCTGCTCCACGCTTTCACCTGGTCAGCACTCCAGTAAAAGAGCCAGAAGTCACGTTCACAGCAGCGCCGTTCGCATTAGCCAACCGGTGGAAAAGCCCATATCCGTGGATGGAGGGTTGGATAAACTGAATGGGGCGTAGTCATACGATGGCATATTATTAAGCCTTGAAAAGGAAGGAAATTCCGACAAGTGCTACAACATGGGTGAATCTCGAGGACATTATCCTAAGTGAAATAACCGGACAGTAAAGGACAAATATTGTATGATTCCACTTACGTGAAGTAGCTGGAGTAGTCAGACTCCTAGAGACAGGTTGCCCAGGGCTGGCCTGAGGAGGGAAGGAAGAGTTAACGTTTAATGGCTGTATGGCACTATAAATGTTCTTAAACCCACTGGAATGTACACTAATGATGGTAAACTTCATGGTATGTAAATTTTGCCCATTACCAAAAAAAAAAGAAGTGTGCCCCTAATGGCAAGGGTCATAGGAGCAAACAGAAGGAACTCCTGTGGCCGGAAGTGGAGAAGCAGCCCTGCAGGGGCGGCCTGAGCTGAGCCTAAGGCGGGGTGTGGGTCAGTAGGTGAGGAGGGGGGACAGGAGTCGGCAGGGGCCCGGCGGGCCATGCACAGGGGGGCGACAACATCAGAGACAGAAGCGCCAGGCTGGGGCCGGAGCGGGGGCCTTCCTGCCCACCCTCGGGACTGACTGACCGAGGCCAGTCTGCGTCCTCCCCAGACCGGAGAAGAGCACACTGTGACCCACCTCCAGTACGTCGCGTGGCCCGACCACGGCGTGCCCGACGACTCCTCGGACTTCCTGGAATTTGTAAACTACATGAGGTCCCTGAGAGTGGACGCCGAACCCGTCTTAGTTCACTGCAGGTACCCTGACTTGTTTTTTTAATATTCCCACTCCTGGGCAAAGGGTGGAGAAAGCCGGCAGGCATCAGATCCGCCTAAATCCCACAAGACTATAGACGTGCTTTCACAAAGCTCTGTTGACTTGATTTCTTTATGGTGGCGGAAGATTTGGAGCTTTAGGGAAGCGCAGACGCCCCTAGTGCAGCGTGAGTTAAAGAAAGCCCCTCCCTCCTCTTCCGACCTTCACAGTAGCTGTGAATGAGGTGGGGGGTGGGGTTTGCATGTAAAGGTGGGTTTCTTTCCTTTGGTTTTTTAGCCCCAGACTCTATCTGAGGAGAGGCTTTTTCAGCCAGTTTGAGGGCCGCCCTGAGTGTGTGTTTTGTACCCTTGAAGGTCAGGGGAGGAAAGCTCTGCCTGGGTAAATGAGGGAACTGGTGAGGAGCCGGGCTGGGCTGTGCAGAAATGCTGGCTGAGCCAATCCCAAGTCTCTGCTCCTCTCCCTCCAGCGCTGGAATAGGTCGGACTGGTGTCTTGGTCACCATGGAAACAGCCATGTGCCTAATCGAGAGAAACCTGCCCGTTTACCCGCTGGATATTGTCCGGAAAATGCGAGACCAGCGCGCCATGATGGTGCAGACGTCAGTGAGTGGAAAATCCAATAATAAAAATAGTCACAGTGGCCGATGCTCCCTGAGCACTTACCCTGGGCCAGGCCTGTGCAAAGGGCGTTGCAGGTCAGGTGACCGAGGCTTGAGGGGACTAAGTCACTTGCCCACTGTCGCAGAGCTTGTCAGGCTGAGCTACACCAAAGCCCACCGCAGCTGGCCTCTGTCTTTCGCTGCCTCCTTGGTTTGTTTCCTGCCACCACATGGCCGGGGAGCAGCCCTGGTTGCATTCTTTCTGCATTGTTGACCACTGGCCCGTCATTTGTCCATGAGAAGTAAGCAAGGTCACCCGAGGGTTTCACCCCTCCCACCTGTTCCGAGATGAGCCTTTTGGCGCAGCGAACCTTTCACCTGGCCCCGCTCCTCCTGTGTGCTCTCTCCCACGTATGTCACGCCTGGGTCCTCGGCATTGCACGGGTCCTAAAGGGCAAATCTTGTTGTTTTCCTCCAGAACTGCAAGAAAAGGGTGGGGTGGGGGTACGGGAAGACCATGACTCAGCCCCCCTCCACCTACTGAACAACCTTTGAATAATCCCTTCACCTCTCTCCCAGCCTCAGTTTCCCCATATGCAAAAGGGGGACCATTCCATATTCACTCATTCATTGGATAATTGCACAAACGGAGAGACCCAAGCTCATCTGAATTGGTAGAACTGGATTAGTCGATTATAAATCTCAGTGGCAATGGGAGCATCCAAGGGGAAACTAAGAACTCGGTGGAAGAGAATCTAAAGCTTACTTAAGAAAGTCAAGGAAGGCTTCCTGGAGGGAGTGGCCTCTAAGGTAAAACCCCCAGGAGGAATTAACAAAGGAAGGAGTGGAATTCTGTGTTGTAACCACTCTGTATCCTCACAGGCTCATGGGCAAAGTTTATAAGATTGCTGTAATAACTATGAGCTCTAGCAGTTTTATATTTATTTTTACCCAGGATGTCTGGTTAAGAGTGGGGGGGCAAAAATCAGGTTACTAAGGCTGTTTTCTGCCCTGTTCTGTGGGATGGAAGACCTCATTTCTGGCTTAAAAATGTTTAAGTGCATCAACTTGGTAGGTTTTCTCAGCTAGTGAAGCCCAGTCTCCGAGCTTCCTCTCAGCCTGTGCACATCACTAAAACAAAAGTTTCCTAGGTGTCTGTTAATAGATAGAACCATACTCTGCAGAGCAGCTCTCAGTGGCTCTCCTTTTTAAGACAAAATTCAGATCCTTCCCCCAATGCAAGGCCCCACATGACCTGGTCCAGGCCCACCTGTGTGGTCCCTCCTCCCATGTCCAGGTGTCCTGGGCCAGGACCGTGAGCTCTGACTGCACTTCTTAGAATGGGCCGTACTCCTTGGAGCCTCCACACTGGTGCCTACACTGGAGTGGCCACCCCGCAACACCCATCATTCCTTCCCCAGCTCCCCCAGATGGCCAGTTCCTCCCTCTCCCGTGATTCCATGACACTTTGCCCATCTAGCCCTGGGAACAACCCCCGCCCCTCCTCTACAGCAGTAATGGTTCACAGGTGTGTCTTCTCCACCGTTTCACAGGGGCTGCCTGGTCCAGAGCTGGAGCTCACAGGGTATTTATCAAGTAACTGTGTGTGCGGACCATTTGTGGAGCTGCTGGTGGGCTTGACGGCTTTCTTTTCTTTTCCAGAGCCAGTACAAGTTTGTGTGTGAAGCAATTCTTCGTGTTTATGAAGAAGGCTTAGTCCCGATGCTAGATCCCAGTTAAGGCAACTGTGAAACATTCATTCCTCTTTCCAAGGGCATCCTCCGTAAGGACAGACCTTCTCTCTGGAAGCAGCAAGAGGAATCTGTAGGCCGTGGTGTGGGAAAGGAAAGGGCACATTTGAACCCAGGCACTTTAAATTTCTATGAAAAAGGAATCGTGTACATAGGAACTGTGTAGATAACGCATGCCGCGATAGTGTCATTTAGGCCCATTATTCCTCCAGAGAGACATATGCAAAAGGGCGTCTCATTTGGGGGCCTGTCCCAATGCCTTCCTCCCTAGACATCACCATGATCCTGTAAACGATCCTTGGGCAACTGAGAGGGGACGCCAGCAGCGCTGTTCACCTCCCAGAAGCAAAATGGTGCGGCTCTTTTGAGTCGCGGGGATGCTTTGTGTGTATCTGTGCACAGGACTCCAAGAGCCGAGCTCTCTGTGCTTCTAAGCCAAGCGGAGACCGTTAGCGGGCACCAGCCCTGATGCTAAGGAAGCCCTGATGGACGTACCGCACGATGGGGGGGGTTTTCTGGCTGAAGGACAAGCAGTACCTTTCCTGCCCTCCCTTCCTTTGTCCCATCTCCCTGCCCCTCTGACATGCGTGTTTCTGAGAATCGTGTCCAGACGCCCCGCTTTCCGCCCGCATTAGTGACCCTCTTGGGGTTCACACGCCGCACCTGAACCGGATGAGTAATGCAGGTCCGGGGGAGTCTTCAGTCCACCCTGAGCGTGAGGACTTCGGTGTCGCCTTGTCGGTATCCGGGCGCTGGCTGTAGGCGCTGCTCGCCTGTCCGCCGCGCTGTGCTCAGCGCCGAAGACGAGTCGTCGACTACTGAATCTACTACATGGATTGCTGCTACTTCCAGCTGCGACACTTGAAGCATTGCGTCTTCCTGAGGGGAGGCGGGATAGCATCTAAATATTCAGAATCTTTGGCCCTTCCGAGGAAAGGTCTTCTAGCCATTGAACCACGGGAAAGCCAGCTTCTGGACGGCTGTGCATGGGTGTGGGTCGGCGCGTGTGCGCCCACGGCTGAGAGCTTCTCAGGATTCCTGACTCGATTCAAGTGACAGTGGAGTTTATATAAAGAATGAGTCTCTGTATAGAACAAGCGTGTGCATTCACCCACGGTTACAATGGTCTCCGTTTCATTTCAAAGGAGAGGATCAGACTATCTGAATAGAAACGCAAGTTGATGTTAATTTATTCTAAGTACGCCATGATTCTGATTGTCCTAAAGAATTCTGCCTTTGTTAATACTGTGTTAAATTTTTTTAAAAATTTGTGACAGGATTGTAGCAGATTATTATTTAAGGAAAATAAATTGCAAAAAGACTTTAATGTGGTATGTTTAAATAGCGGTTTTTATGTATCCAGGAGAGGACATTAAAGCAGTTTCTTAACGGGATTTATAGAAAAAGGATGCTGTTATGTTATATTAAAGCCATTTTGATGTTTAAGCAAACTCTAGACCAATTGCATAGTTTCCTGGTTGCAACAGGAATAAATACCTTTATCTCCAGACCTGGTGTATTTACTTGCATACTTCATGTCTTTCCCCTGCCATTATTTTCCTGCTAAATGGCAGGGGTGGGAGGAAGGTGTTATACAGGGCTGTAACCCTGTACTGAGGGACAGGTGGCCACCTGAGCCCCATCCTGTCAGCACTATGTCAGGCCAGCGGAAGGAAGCAGGAGAGTAGAGCCAAGCAGCAGGAAGTTTGGTTCCTGGCTCCTGGTTCCACTCCTCAATAACTAGCTCTAGGCCTAGTCACTTCAGAGCACCACCTCTACTTCCTCACCTGTAAAATAGGAAAAATAATACTGAAGACTTTAAGTTGACTATGAGGACCGACTAAAATGCTATCGATGGGAATTCGCAGCAGCTGGAATCTGGCACTGCTGTGGATGAATTACGTGGAAAAGTTAACTTATCAGTTGATTAGCCCAAATGCTCATGAAACCGAAGTAGAATCGTATGGGTTTTTATAAGGGAAAGATGCTTTTCTTTTTATAAGAGAAAATTGTTTTTCTTCTGGAGAGAATAGAAGCGGAAAGGCATATCAGACCAGTACTTTCATTCAATCTGGACTCAGAAAAATTCTATCCGCAAAGCACCAAAAAAGAGAGGAAGGTGGGAAAGTTGATGTAAATTTAAATGCCATCAGAATATTTAGCAAATCATGGTCATTTGATAAAAATGGATCATCTCCCTGTCTGCAAAAAGCTTGAGAAGTCTAACTGTGTTTTGCAGATTTGTATTTTTTTAATTGTTTAACATGGTTACAGAAATGTTATTAGCACACAGATTTCTAAGAATCTTACCAAGGTTGCAGCTAGCCTTTGTCTGCCTCTGTGTAGGCCAGTAGTTCAGACCCAGCAGATGTTACCAGGAACAAGATCCATGAAATACTGGGGATGAACAAGACAAGAGAATTACCTAAAGGGGCAAAATATGCAAGTAAATACTGTAGATACTACTGATTAAATCCTGTAACTCAATATTTCTTCTTCACCACCTTATACACATAAGCAACTATACTTAAGAAGCCTTTTTGGTTCTTAGTGAAGAACATCAAAACCAGGATCAATATTTTGCCGGGGAAATTTGGCTGGGTGTGAATGGAGAAGACAGTTACATCCTGCATTCTGGTACTCTCCAGAAGATCTAATTCAGATGCATCTCTGTGCTGACGTAATCAAGATGGGAGATCCTTCCTGGTGTCACCGATTAGAACCTGCACTTGGTGTTTTGACTGTCAACAAAAAAATACTCCATTTGGATGGGGGTAGAATTGGGGGAGTGGGAGGAATCTGAATCACAAACTTGTGCTGGTCTTTAATTCCTACCACGGTAATTTATACCTAAATATGCTTTCAGATTAGTGTAGATGGTATTGCTGCTATGTTGCTACTTGACATTTTTTGTTGCTCAGAAGTTATCATTTGAGTGCAGACAGTAGGCCTCCTAATCCTTCAGAGGCAACAAGAGCCAGCATCAATGGGAAAAGATCTCAAGAAGCAGGCCTTGGGTTTAGAACCAGACTTAGGCAAGATTTGTTGCCCTTAGCCTCAGTTTCCTTATATGGAAAAGGGGGAGGGTGGGCAGGACTAGATGAGTTCTTCGGTTCTTTCAACATTTACCGTGCTATGTATCTATATTCCAGAGATTTGAAGTCAATCCTATATGACTTCTGGAGAGAGATGTATCATATTTCTGTGACGTATCCCCAAGAGATTATCCCTCAAATCTTGGCGCTGATGAATGCAAATACAAGGATTGCCACCTCTGATTCTTGCCATCCTTGCCATCCTAAACTGAGAGCAGACTCAGTAACGTTGGCGAAAATTCTGACCTCAGCCTGAGGAACCAAATACGTGGGATTCTGATGGCTGGACTGCCATCTTTATAATTCATATTCTCTTTGGAGCAACAAAGGATTTGTGTTATGTAGTTTTGAAAACTATCTTAATTGATCAGCTATGTTATTTCTGTAAATTTGGAATGTTTTTCATTCAGGTCTGTGCTGCCAGTGACTCTACTGAAAACAATTTTATCAATATAAAAACATTCAAGCTATGCAACACTAGCATTGTGTGTTGACATCTTTATTCTAATAATTGTCTTGATCTCGGAAGTGTTTTCTTATTTTGTTTGCTTTCTTTTAAATAAATCCTAGATCAGAATTAGGTTCAGCTCTTAAGTCAGCAATAGCTTAAACGAAGTAGAAGGTACTTTACACCCTATCATGCAAGGCTGCCATGATCCACAGATCCCAGGTTCCTTCCGACTTGTTGCTCTGCCATTCCCAGTATGCAGTTTCTACATTGAGGTCCACAGTGGTGGCTACAACCATGTTCTCATTACAGCCAGCAGGATGGAGGGACGTGGGAGGAGAAAAGCAAAACCCTTTCCCTCAGGCTGCGTCATCTGGATGTTGTACATCCCATTGATCAAAACAATCACAGAGCCATTCTTATTGCAAGGGAGTCTGGGAGAGGTAGTTTTTATTCCAAGAAGCTCTGTGCCTAACTGAAACTCAGGTGTTCTGTTTCTGAGAAATAAGGAAAGAATGTGTTTGAGGGGCAAGTAGTCTTCAACCCTTTGGTCACGTTTCTTGCCTCACAAAGAGCCCACTTCTCTCCCCAAGGTAAGAAAACCCAGACCCCATCCAGCTAGGGCCTGAAGCTAAAGATAAAATCACCTTTGGGTGATTTGTGGTCTCCATCTACTCTGGGTGGCTCCTTGTGGACTAGTGACCTATAAACTAAAGACAAGTTATCTTCTCCCAACATAACCCTTAAACAGTAGTGAAGTGACAGTAGGCAAACAGCCATTGAAAACTCATGCATAAGAGGGGAGGGCAGGAAACTCTGCTCCAAGCAACTATCAAAAGCCCTGCACAGGAGACAAAGACAACCCTGGCAGGCCCACGAGTGCAGCTCTCTGGGAAGAACTTGTCCATTGACTTCCATGGCCACATCCGTGGTGGGACCTGCAGAGGGAGGACTTCTTGGGGACAGCACAGCTTCTGTAGCCTGCTTACTCTTGGGGCAGTTTTGGGGGTCCCCAGGGTTGTGTTTTCTTTGACAGTAGGATTTCATCAAGTACCCAAAGCTGCAGATCTGGTCTAGACTGGCTGGCATTCTGTGCTCTGCTTATGCCTCTTAGAGGCCACCTGAAAAGGAAGCTAGGGTGGGAAGGCAATACCCTTATTCATTTTTTGTTTTGTTTGTTTGTTTATAGATAGTCTTTTACTTTTAAATTTTGTATTATGGAATATTTCACATGTATTCCAAATTAGAGAGACTATGATAACGAACCCTTAAGCAACATTACCCAGTTTCAGTGGCTAACATTTTGCCAATCATGTTTGCTCTAAAGCACCCTCCTTTCTTTGCCCCATAGATTTTGGGTTTTGTTTTTCCCTCTCTGAGGCAACACCCTTAATCTGATCTTTGGAACCACCTGGTTTGCATTTTCTGGCAGAGGAGCCTTGACATCGCTTGCTGCCCCAGCCCTGCTAAGGCTGCCACTTCAAGGCCACTGCTCTGAATAGCTGCAGTTTGGAGAACGTAGCAGTTGAATAGAAGCATTTCTACACTTCAGACCTAAATTTTGAGTTCAGGCTACAAACAGTGCCTCCCTTATCAAAGCAGGATTCCCTCCCACGTCTGCACAGTCTGGCTGGCTCGAGCCCCAGTTCCTCTCACTTCTATAGGACTTTGTGAAAAGCAACAAAGAGCAACAGTTATACTTTTTGCACCTTTCCACCATTTTCTCTATTGTCATGGCCTCAGTCAGTATGTGGTCCATCTTCCAAGTTACTGCAGGTGACAATATCATCAAATGTTGAAAAATAATTCTATTCCTTCCATCTGCTGGCCTGCCAATTCCACTAAGCCAGTGCTACATTTTAGATGCTGTTATGCAGCCTCCCACTTACAGGTATCAAATTCTGAATCCAAAAACCAAAGTAAAGGTGACTGGAGCAAAATAGAAGTTTAATTCTCTCTCAAACACAGGAATCCAGAGCTGATAGAGCAGCATGGTCATCGGGACCCGTGTTCCTCCATTCTTCTGGCTTCACTATCCTCAGCATACATATTCCGCCTCATAGTACAAAATAACTGCTCCAGCCCCACCCATCATAGCCATATTCTAGCTGGAAAGATGAAAAGGGAGAGAAAAAGAATGCCCCTTCCTTTAAGGATAATCACTAAAAGTTGCATAGATTTGCAGAGTTAGCCAGAACTTAATTATATGGGTACACCTAGCTGCAAGGGAGCTTAGGAAAAATAGTCTTTATTGTGGATGGCACTCTACCTAGTCAACATTTAGGAGTTTTATTATTGAAGAAGGGGAAATGATTATTAGGGCACAATCAGCAGCCTCCCCTGAAGATCCCTTGACTTCAGATCTGCTGAAGGGCTGATTTATGAGGAGTCACCCTTCCCAAGACCCAGCACACAGGAATAAATGCAATTACATCGTTTAAACAAGGCTGACCCACCATCTTGGAGTCTACACTGACAGCTCCAGACACGATCCGCACTCATCCATTACACATACACAAATCACTTGAATCAGAGTAGACTGATAACACAAACTTTACCTCTTCTAGAAATCCTAGGTCCCTACCCATTTCCCACCCCTAAATTATACAGGTCCATCTTCATCTATGGCCACCATGCATCCTTTGCTGTTTAATCCTTAAACCTGTGGATTCCACTCCAGTCAAGAAAGGCTCCAGGATTTCTCTCAAGGCCACCCCAGAGCTCCCAACATCATTGTCTGGAACAGAGCCAGGTAAGAAGACCTGTTGGGATTCAGTGATGGAGGTCCGGGGAGAGAGGGTGGCAGTGAAGACCAAGTGAGTTGTCTTAGCCAAACATTTAAGAGGAAGAGTGATGACTTGATAACTGATGGGTGTACAGAGGGAGGAGCCAAGGATGGGGTCAGTTTCTAGGTTGGGCAACTGGGTGGGTGTTGGTGCCACAAACCAGGAAAACTAGGTGTGGGGAAGATGAGATTGTTCTTTGGGTCTGATGTCTAACGTTAGGGACACACGTATAACCAGTCTGAGGAGTCTCACACAGCTATGTCTGAGTGTGAAAGTTTATTCTTAAAAATGATGCAGACATTTCTGGGTCTTGAGCACCCCCATCGGCTCCAGTAAATGCCTTTTGTGTCATTCTTGTTTACATTTTAATCCATTCAAATGATTTCTGTAATCAAATCTGGTTCTTAAAATAGCCTGTCTGGGGTGAATATGCAGTTGTCTTAGTCTGCTCATGCTGCAATAACAAAATGCCGTAGGCTCGGGGCTTAAACAGCAGACACTTATTCCTCACAGTTTCAGAGACTGGGAAGTCCACGATCAGGTGCTGGCAGATTCGGCTCCTGGTGAGAGGTCTCCTTCTGGTTTGCAGACAGCTGCCTTCTCGCTGTGTCTTCACATGGTGGAGAGAGAGCACTAATGTCTCTTCCTCCTCTTATAAGATCACTAAGCCCATCGTGGGGGCCCTGCCCTTGTGACCTCATGACCTCATCTAAACCTAAGTACTTCACAAAGGCTCCAACTCTAAATACCATCAATGAGGGTTAGAGCTTCAAAACGATTCAGTCCATCCATAGCAGCAAATTAATATTTTATCATAATGGTAACCAGAGGTCCAGTTCTCTCTGAACTTTCTTCCCCACCCCTACTCTGTCTACCTGAATTCTCAGGGGCCTTGCTNGAACTTTCTTCTCCAACCCTACTCTGTCTACCTGAATTCTCAGGGGCCTTGCTGTCCCCTACAGCCCCACAGGCAAAGCAGATGAGGAAGACAGTACTTCTAACAAGGGGGCAGCAAGCTGGGCCTGAGGAGAGGTGTGATTTTCTTTAGTAGTGTTCAGCTTTACCCTGGCCACCTCCAGCATGGAGGAACAACCGTCCTCCCTCCCTGAGGATAGGAGGAGACATGCCCTTCTTTAGCCCCTATCAACAATACCCACCCCAGCAAAGTGGGAAGCCTCACATTTTTAGCACCTCTGTTCCTCCATAGGTGACAATGTTATCTTTGACATAAACACATCTCCAGTGTCCCCTGTACACAGTGCTATACTGACCATGCCTCCTCACACAGACCATAGGACCCACTGAGTTATCTTTTGCCCTGCCCTAGAGCCCCATAGAAAACTCATCAGTGGTTGATGGGTTTCTGGCCTAGACTTAAACCCTTGGTCCCAACTGAAACTCCATCCATTTCTCACTTGTTCTTTGAGAAATTGGTCCACAGTTTCTGCTGTCTTCCAGCACTGCTCATTTACTACCCAGTGGCAAGCCCAAGATTCTGATTGAACAAACATTTGCTGAAAATAAGCCTCATCCTTGGAGTCTTTAACTTGCCTCCCTCTATGCTATGCCAGGAAAACAACTCTGAATAAAGGGAGAAAAGGTCTTTTCCTGCTCCACAAAAACAATGGGAGCACCCCAGGCAGGAATGGCGGTGACTCTAACGTGTGCAGTCAGTAGCAATGTCAAGATCACATATCAGAGCTGGTCCCTGTAGATTCCACTGACACTGCTCCTAAGCACAGAGCATAGCACCACTGAGGCCCATTCTGCCCTAGACACTAGATAGAGCTGGCCCTGCAGCTGCCACCCTCACCAAAGTTAATCCAAACAGCCCCTGCTATCTGCCAGCCCTGAGCTCTGGGACAGATATTTCTCATTGGCAGAGCCTAGCTCATGTGCCCACACCTAGCTGCAAGGGAAGCTGGAAAAGCAAATATGTGGAATTTTCGGTGTCTGCCATGGGAAATGTAGGAGGAGATCTCTGCTTCATGTGGTAGAAGTGTTTCCAAATTTAAAAGCTGAGTGACCAAAACAAATGTCCCCAACAGTACACTCCTTTTGCCAGCTTATATCCTTCCCATACTTCTGAAACACAACAGTACTGCCACCTGACATAGAACCATTCCTTATACAACTAAAATCTGCTCACCCTTCCCAAAAGGAGTCAACCAGAACTCCTATCAGTTACAGCTCACAGCAAATCCTGGATATCAGTCTTTTTCTACTCTGTCACTATCCTACCTCCT